TATTGCAGGCAAATAATTAATATTCCTCAAAAAATCGTACATGGCAAGAATCGAGTATTTTTGTTAAAAGTCTCGATTAGAGGTGTTGAAGAAGATATGAAAAAAGTACATTTTTATGTTTTTCATCGTATAAAATTTTGTCCGATAATAATACATAGGCGTAGAACTTGATTTTTTTAAATAATTGCACCTTTAAAAATTCTACGCCAATGGCAAAAAAGGGGTTTGACTATGAAATTTGGATTGGGTACTCATTTACTACAAAAAAGTACCCCTGATAACACTCGATTTACTCTCATGGTTTTGACAAAGTTTGTATTTTAATAATTATTGTTTATGTTCTAAAATTACTAAAATGCAAATTTCGTCAAAACCATGAGAGTGATCGAGTTTTATTAAGAGTACCTTTTTTAAAGTAAATGAGTTGCGCAATCTAAATTTCATACTCAAACTCCTTTTTTTTCCATTGGCGTAGAATTTTTAAAGGTGCAATTATTTAAAAAATCAAGTTCTACGCCTATGTATTATTATCGGGCAAAATTTCAATACCATTTTTTTGCCACATAAAACTCTACCAATGTACCAAATTTCAGCAAAATCGCATATGCCGTTTTAAATTTATATGGGAAAAACGATTTAAAAATTGTAACTTCAAGGCCCTCTGGAGCCCAAACGAAGCAACTTTGTACTAAGGTAATTTTACTTAAGTCGACTTATTTTGGTTTAAGGAATATGTGGTATGTTTTTGTACAGACCTTTTACAGACACCCTGTATATCTAAAATGTAGGTTTGTAAAAATGTTCCACCCTCTATATCCGGTTAAGTTAATTGTCTTCAGTGCTTAATAGGCACATCTTGAGCTATCGAATTAGCATACTAAAAGGGGGAGCGAACCCTTAGAACACCTCTATCGGCATCGCGAAGGGTTGTAACCAAATAAAAATAATTACTGCCGCATTTTAACAGTATTTAACATAGAACACAAAGAGAAGGGATGATGTTTTATTGAAATTTTATATTCAGTAGAATCGATGATATAGTACATTGTGAAGGAATAAAACAATAGTTAAAGGTTTGAAGGGAAGCATTTTCTTTTTATTGACATACAGTAAGCATCATGGAAATAATATACTAGAAATTACAAGAAAAAATGTAGGCAATTCATACCCATACAAGAAAAAAAGGAAGATTACCAGATTCTTCGAAGATAAAGTAGTTCTCTACAGACTAACACCCTGTATAGTGGCGAAAGACGTGGCTATTACGAATTTTACTGATCGGCTGATCGAAAACAGCGCACGAAAATAAAAATTTTAATCGGCTCATGGCCAATCCGCTAACCATATTTCACACTACAATGCGTTACCTCTGATTTTTTGTACAATGAGTGTGAGCGTTATTCTTATGTCAACTTTTGTCATACGGTAATTTTTGGAGGTGGATCGACCATGATATGGTGCGGAATTTCCTACTATGGATGCACGGAGCTAGTGACAGTTAATCAAGGAAGAATGGCGACCGATAGATATTCTGGAACGTCATGTGATCCTACTAGCCCAAGAGCCCACTACAAATTTTTACCGTCATCTGATAACGAAATGAAAATAAATATATCCCAAAAGCATGGAAAAACATTGTACTTTACCAAATGGCACCTGTGCCAATCTCTATCCTGAGCAAAGTGGCCTAAAAAAATTATTTTATATTAAACAAAATCACATAAGGCATGACAGAGCTAATTTTGTTTGCCATTAAAGTTTTCCAGAAAATAACATTCAAATATATCTTGATATAGAAGAAGGTTTGGTGCGGTGAAAAAATATAAAAGATAAAAGGATTATTGGGCAACTACCGCAAAAAATGAAAAAAAAAAAAGTGATCTCCTGTTGATTTGATTTCATCGCTAGTTCCATTCTCTTTTGAACTTGGCTGCACCGTACTGATGAAGACCAATAGTCAGAAACACGTGTCTACGGTTTGCCTTTAGGCATTTTTTTTTTTTTTTTTTTTTTCATTTTTTGCGGTATTTGCCCAATAATCCTTTTATCTTTTATCTTGATATATATCGTTAAAGGGAAACATTTTCTTCCTCTTAACATCGCACAAAAACATCTATCCACGATTAGTAGGTAAATATCATTAAAAATATGAATCAATGTTTGCTGATTTAAAAATTTATTTGTATGCCTATTGTTGTGATTCATTTTTACAGGTTGCCATAGAAACGACAAAAAAACTACTATGATTATGGTTTAAAATAATTGTCTAACAAGAGTTTATAAATATTATTGACTATCTCTGCAAATGGTTTACACAGTGCCATCCTTCTTCCTTTCATACATAAAGATGGTTTAAAAGGTAGGTAAAAATATTACTAATTCAGGTTTAAAAGCTAGGTTCATAATGAATTAGGATTGTAATTTTCAGGGAAAATTGTCGCTGTCATGTTTTATTTGATTTTTTGAATATAAAATAATTTTTTTTACCACTTTGCTCAGGATAGGGACTGGCACAGGTGCAATTTGGTAAAGTACAATGTTGTTACATGCTTTTGGATCATATTTCATTTCGTTATCAGATGACGGTCGAAATTTGCAGCGGGCTCTCATACTATACGTGGTTCTTTCGTTGGTGGGAACTTCATATTCATGTCACTGCAATGAGTTGACCAGTAGAAGTATCGATAGTTTCACTATCGATAGTATTCGATAGTTTGAAAAAAAAATCTCTGTTCATATCTCTTTATTAACTAACCAATAATTTTTATTTATAAACGTTAAAATATCAACATTTTTTGGCTTAAGCCTTGACCGTCTCTCAGTAGCCATCTTCTAGAGAAAACACTAAATGTAAGATTACAAGAATACCTTAATAAATATAAAATAATTTCTACAAAACAATTTGGATTTCGAGAGAGATTTTCTACAACTGGTGTAATTCTAGAGTTGACCAAAAGAGTTTATCAGTCTGAGGACAGTAATAAACCAAACCTAACTATTTTCCTGGATTTAGCCAAGGCCTTCGATACTGTACATCACGAACAGTTATTGCTGGCCTTGGAAGATGCAGGAATACAGAGAACGGCATTAAAGTTTTTTGAAGACTACCTTAATAATCGATATCAACAAGTTAAAGTAAAAGATGAGTTTAGCGAAAGCAAATTGATTAAAACTGGTGTACCATAAGGGACAGTCCTTGGTTCTTTACTATTTTCAATATACTCGTATGTAAATGACTTGTATATTCAAAAGACTACAGGCCAAATAGTAAGCTTTGCTGATGACACAGCTATTATTTACGAAGCAGATACCTGGGAAGAATTAAAATATAAAACAGAAAATAACTTTAAAAAAAAATTATAGATTGGTGCACTCATAAAAAGCTTACTATAAACTACAATATATCATTTTTTTTTGCCTTTTGCAAGCTACAGTAACAGTTTACCAGATTATAATAAAATTAGTATCAATTATAACAATCAGGAAATTATCTTACAAAAACAAAATAAAAATAAACAAAATAAAAATAAATACTTGAGGTGTTACTCTAGGTTGCCACTTACGATTGGATAAACATGTAAATAATCTAACCAATACCTTAAGAATGTTGTTCTTCAAATTAAAATACCTTAAAAATATATTAAGCGTTACTCATCTTAAAATTATTTACTACGCACTTGTTCAAAGCAGACTTCAATACTCCGTTATCTGTTGGGGGCTACCACAAAAAATCATCTAAATAAACTGGAAATACTTCAAAAAAGAGTACTTAAAATCATATACAGTAAAAAATTAGGTATCCAACAAATTTACTATATGATGAAGTCAAAATTATGGATATCAGACAGTTATATATTTAGGCAGTTTTAATGTACACTTACAAACATAAAGATATTTTACAAAAAAAGATCTTTAACTAACAAGAGGTAAAAATACAGGAACGGTATATACTCATATTACTAAAGCAAATTTTAAAATTTTTTGCACGGTTGAATAGAGAATAAACTCCCCTTTCAAAAGAGCTATCACTCAACACCCCATGCCATTTAAATTTTTCGAAAGGGTTGCTCCCCTCCAGTAAGAGATGAAATTAGGAGTAAACTATTCATACAAAAATGTACATTGTAGAAATCAAAAATCGACGTGTCTCGGCGATTTTTCTAACAAGATTCCAGTTCCGAGTTAGATAGTGGGGGTAAGACTTATAATGCTCACTGTATGAAGAATCATATATTATAAAAGAACTTAATTAGTTCATATTAATTTTTGTAATTATTTAGGTCACATTACGCTGTTGCTAGGTACACGCTAAAGTGTACACAAATTAAAAAATTATATACATGCAAAACGTCATATTGTTGTGGTGGCAGGTGTTTGTATGAATGCATCTTGTTTGTTTTCATCTACGCCGTGATTAGCAGTAGTATTTTATAAACCTTAGAAGCAAATTTCACATACATAAACAAATAATAATGCCGTGACAACAAGAAAATGAAGCAACGACTTCTAGTAGGGTGGCGGCTTCGCCGCCACCTAAAAATTCAATCCATACCTAGCTATGCCTACTGGCATAAACACCAACGGCCTAGACACAGCTCACCTACTCTGTCAAGACGTTCCGCGTGCCTATAACTTTTTGAATTGCGTACAAGTTAGCGTGTACCTAGACACTGTGTATATTCTATTATAACTATTTTTAAAATCTTTTTATTCAATACATTAACATTAATGCACTATATATTTAAATCATGTATAGTAAAAGTAAATAATTCGGCAGCCTATGCGCAACTGTTAGGTCCTAAATAGGCTACCAGGTTATCTACATATAACATTATTCCTTTTATAAATAATTATTGTACTAATGAAAGTGTATTTATAATGTATATGTATATACACCATAATGCTGAATAAAAATTATTATTATTATTATTATCTGTCCTGTAGCACTGAAGACACGCTCAGATTCTACTGAAGTAGCGGACACACATAAATATTTTCTTCCACACTTTTGTAGGCAATGAAACAATACAAAACTCTACAGATTATGAACATGATAATACTTTTAGCTTAACTCACCTTCCAAAAAAGTAGAGGGTCACTTCCTTAATTTAAATTTTGTCTCTCTAGATATTGCCTCTTTATTATTATGGCAACTACTTTCTTTGACCTTCGTTTATGACTTGTTCTTTCATTCATAAAAGAAAATAATGATGATGATGATGATGATGATGATGATGATGACTTGTTACTATTACCGCCATTACTACCTTTATTTAAACTACTCATCGAACTGTTTTTTCTATCTTGATCTTCGTTTGTTTCTTTATTTTCTCCTCTATTTAAAATGCTTACCATTTCTTGCTCCGAAAATTGTCCAACTACTTTTGCATTATTTATACTTCGAAAACCCTCCTGTTTAAATCTTGAATCAATTAGAGTACCCATTTGAGCCACAGTCCTCTTTTCCTATTCCTATTCTAATGAATTTAACAATTTTTGACACATCTGCTTTCCTTCTTCTGGTAGGATATCTTCACTTAAGTTTTTTAAAGTACTATTGATGCCAAAGGTTAAAGGAATAATTAATGATATGGTGACATAGTTTGAGCCTGATACCTTTACAGTTGCTTCATCAAATGGGGCCAGTAATGTTTCCATATCTGTTAAAACAGTTATTTCTTCTATGCTTAAAGGGGTGGAGCTTCTTTATTTTAAGTAGTAATGTATTAAAAGCTTCACTAGTTTTTAAAATTCTCTTTCTCATTTCATAAGCACTATTCCATCTTATTTCCACTTCTTGAATCAGTTTCAATGGAGTATCAGTGTTCTGTTCCCTTTTAAAAATATCGGTGGCAACATTACTGCGTCCTTAACAAAGCAGACAATTTGCTTACACCTATTTAAAATAGTTTTTACTGGATCCAATGACACACTGTCATTCAAAACTAAATTAATGATGTGTGCATAGCAGGGAAGGTGTCTTTTCTCTAAAATTTCACAAGTTTTTACCATATTTGAGGCATTATCTGTTACTATACATGTGATTTTCATTTCATTTTATTCCATTTTATGAATGATCTAATTTTAACTTTTAATATTTTAAAATTTAAAATCTAGTTCCACTTAGGAGCACACCTAGAATTTACTGGCGCAGTCAGTAGGATCCCGGTGTCTTTTATTTGTATTCTATTAGGAATATTACAATTATTATTCTCTGAATCTCGTCAGAAACGTCTTGTATTCGGTATCATCGCCGAGGTGGCGCACTCTACCGGAATATCAATGCTAGGGATCTGAAACAATTTTCGGCGATGCGATATTGTTTCTGTCAAGACACGTTCCCGATTTTCAAAGGCTGCTTCTACTGCTGCTGCCTTCGCTGCCGCGATATCTCAGTCAGCCAAACATAAACAAATGCATGTGGAAATTCTAAAATCGGGTGACAGGCGAGCTCGGCATGCCAGATTCGGGCGTCTCTAATCAAAATGGAAATTATATTTTCCATGTAGAAGGGATGTTCGAAATAAATGAATAATGCGATGATGGAGTTTAATGTTGAAATCAATTGTATGCGATAAAGATGAGATTAATATGTGTTTATATGACGTTTGTTGGTAGTGATATGTTCAATACGTCAATCGAGAATATTAAAAAATTTAAATTGACAAATGAGGTCAATTTGCAAACTTTTGATACTACCTCTCATTTTTAGTATCTACTTACAAGTATATGTTCTTCGTCTGTAGTATAAAGCAATGCAAAAAATGTAGAGTGGATCTAATAAAAGACGGTCGCTATTTACTTTGTAAGATTTAATAATAAAATTTCGCAAGAGGATGAAATCCATTCGGAGATTATTAAAAAATTGACTTTATTACTCTGCCGGTGGCTTGATTAAAATTTTGATTCGACGAGAGACTTTGGAAACAAAGAAATGTAATTGTTTCATCGTTTAGACTCGAAGGAACTTTGGAAATTTCTCCCTAAATAACCGTATTTATTAAATTGCTAAATTACTTTTTATATTAAGTAAAGTTTTTCTCATTCTAAACCTTTGCTTTAGTTACAACGTAAACATATGGGGTAATAAATGAAAATTTAAAAATAATTCAGTCTCTATGTAAATAACTATGCTGTTGATCCGATGGTACGGTTAAAATCCCTATAAATATATCAAATATATTAAATATATTAAATATATTAAATATATTAAATATATTAAATATATTAAATATATTAAATATATTAAATATATTAAATATATTAAATATATTAAATATATTAAATATATTAAATATATTAAATATATTAAATATATTAAATATATTAAATATATTAAATATATTAAATATATTAAATATATTAAATATATTAAATATATTAAATATATTAAATATATTAAATATATTAAATATATTAAATATATTAAATATATTAAATATATTAAATATATTAAATATATTAAATATATTAAATATATTAAATATATTAAATATATTAAATATATTAAATATATTAAATATATTAAATATATTAAATATATTAAATATATTAAATATATTAAATATATTAAATATATTAAATATATTAAATATATTAAATATATTAAATATATTAAATATATTAAATATATTAAATATATTAAATATATTAAATATATTAAATATATTAAATATATTAAATATATTAAATATATTAAATATATTAAATATATTAAATATATTAAATATATTAAATATATTAAATATATTAAATATATTAAATATATTAAATATATTAAATATATTAAATATATTAAATATATTAAATATATTAAATATATTAAATATATTAAATATATTAAATATATTAAATATATTAAATATATTAAATATATTAAATATATTAAATATATTAAATATATTAAATATATTAAATATATTAAATATATTAAATATATTAAATATATTAAATATATTAAATATATTAAATATATTAAATATATTAAATATATTAAATATATTAAATATATTAAATATATTAAATATATTAAATATATTAAATATATTAAATATATTAAATATATTAAATATATTAAATATATTAAATATATTAAATATATTAAATATATTAAATATATTAAATATATTAAATATATTAAATATATTAAATATATTAAATATATTAAATATATTAAATATATTAAATATATTAAATATATTAAATATATTAAATATATTAAATATATTAAATATATTAAATATATTAAATATATTAAATATATTAAATATATTAAATATATTAAATATATTAAATATATTAAATATATTAAATATATTAAATATATTAAATATATTAAATATATTAAATATATTAAATATATTAAATATATTAAATATATTAAATATATTAAATATATTAAATATATTAAATAATTTAAATATATTAAATATATTAAATATATTAAATATATTAAATATATTAAATATATTAAATATATTAAATATATTAAATATATTAAATATATTAAATATATTAAATATATTAAATATATTAAATATATTAAATATATTAAATATATTAAATATATTAAATATATTAAATATATTAAATATATTAAATATATTAAATATATTAAATATATTAAATATATTAAATATATTAAATATATTAAATATATTAAATATATTAAATATATTAAATATATTAAATATATTAAATATATTAAATATATTAAATATATTAAATATATTAAATATATTAAATATATTAAATATATTAAATATATTAAATATATTAAATATATTAAATATATTAAATATATTAAATATATTAAATATATTAAATATATTAAATATATTAAATATATTAAATATATTAAATATATTAAATATATTAAATATTTTTACGCATTTTTCGATTGTCATTCATCCCGGTAATCTCCAGCAAGTACAATAGCCGTACGGGAAAAACCCACATTCCAGAATTAACCTCGAAAAAGAGCTCAGCCGAGAGCGGCGGCATCGCGACGGATATAAGGGAAGAAAATGGGCCGACAACCCTTTGGAATAGTTCGGGGTGTATCATTTGATGTAATTAGAAAATCTGGCCACCACAGAGCGTTCCAGATTGTTCCGGGCACGACGAAGGCCCGTAAGGGATGAAAGCCGACCGTGTAGAAGGGACCGGAAAGGGACGAGGGGGGCGGTTTAAAGGCATGCGAGAATCCCCTTTGGGTCCTTGGGACAAATAACGTTCTAATATACCTAAACGGGAGGTAAATGGATTTTTTCTTACTGATGAGGGTCGGAAGGGGTTCGAAATGTGGAACGCTGGAATTATATTAATCAGACAATGTATTTTCGGAATTGCTATTATCTACAATATTTGTTATTTTACACTTATACGATATAATATTTTTATTTACTTTTATAAGGTACTGATATACAGGATGTTCCAAAATTAGAGATGAATATTTTTAACAGCGTATTATACAGGTAAAAATTAGGCAGAAAGTTCATATAAATCTTTTCCAAACTGATACATAAATACTTCAAATTTTGAATTCTTCTTAAAATTGATATTCTGATATTGTGACAGTTTTAACTGAGACGCTAGAACTAAGGGAGAGTAGTGTAAAATAGTAGTTTGTGCGATGTGGACAATCCATTCGAGTTGTACAGTATATTTTTTCTACGACCCACTATTGAAAATTTACAAATAAAAAAATATTTTAGGTTATTAAGACAAAATAACTAATTTTAAAATAATTTATGACTTTTAATCATTTTTAAAATAAAATAAACGAAAAAAAAAAACAGAAAGAAGTTCATTTCATTTTTCCCCATCCGAGAATCGAACTCGAGTCTTCCGTGTGGAAGGCAAGAACGCTGAGCACAGGACCACCTATTCTTTTATTTTTGTTGCTTTAATACTCGTAATTAAATTGACTTCACATAGTTTTATTTAAATTAACAAAATATTTATAATTATAGTCGAAATAAAAACAGAAATGCTATTATTTATCGATTCTACACAATAATAACCCATTTTAATGTATGTTTAATCTCAATAACTAAAAAACATACTAACAATTAGTTTGACAGAATTGTCACTTATTTAAAATTTTAAAAATAATAGCAGTCGGTTGATCTACCTAGAATGGATATGAAATATATTCGTTCAGTTAAAGGCGTAGATAAGCTAACCATGTGGGTATAGAAAAAAATATTTTTACACCTACATCTACGCACAGACTACAAAACGAAAAAGTATGCCATATATAAAATGGTTTCCTATGTATTCATAAAACATCAGAAATCATCCACTCTGAATCTTATCTACCAAGTGCCCATTGCTCAGAAACAGATTCATCAATTGATTTTCGCATTTTTTTATAAGGAAAAATAAGCCTGAGTGGTACCTTTTTCCCATTAGCAGAAAAAGTCGCCATTACCGTGATCTCATCTTTTTCAAAACTGACTCTTTCGTAGAAAAATTTTGACTTTGTAGTTCCTAAAACCTTTCCACTTTTAGGACAAAACTGAAAACCTGCTTCGTGCCCATTGAATATCCCACTTGGGTTAAGGAGGATATGGTCCAATTTATTTTCCTGCATATAGTTCTGATTCGACCATTTTAAAAAAATTGATGTCTATGTCATAGTACCTAAAATTTGGCGCGTAATCTGACACACATTAATAAGCATTGACCTACTGTACATGTGAACTACTAGTACATACATTTTCAACACATATTTTGGAAGTTTTGAGTATTTGAGGGGATTAGGTGTCCATTACTGGTGCAGTGGCCATTATTGGCACATTTACCCTAACAGTATAATTCAATTTCTAAAAATCCGACTTAAAGTCGTCCATTTGTCTTTCAACTCGTTTTCCATTCCGTAAAATGATACGAATATTAAGCCCCGCGACTATGCGGTTACATTTCTCATTTGAAAGTCATCGCATTTATATACAGAAATTCACAACTTCATTTACGCAAAATCTAATTTCTCTAAAATTCTGTTCGCGTACTCGCGCACAGGGTCATTCCTGGAGATGATTAAGTC